CCGAGCACCGAGCACCCCGAGCACCTGCGGGCTGGAGCTCTGCCGCTCCGCTCCCCTCCCCCTCGCTCCCCCCCACCCCTCCTCTCATGCCCCCTCACTTCTGGCCTCAGAACTCCACAGACTCCCGAACCCTCCCAACAACAGTCCTGCTAGCCTGGCAGTGTCGCCTCCAGGCCCTCAGCTCCTGTCCTCCGTGCACTGGACTCGCAGCTCCTGGGCCGCTGGCCGCAGAGCCTGGGTGTCCGCGTGGGGCAGTGGACGGGCGCCCGGCGTGGTGCCTGAGGACACTGACGGGCTGCCTCTCAGCCTCTCCGAGAAGTTGGGGTTCAGAACGTGGCCCCGTGGGCGGGCAGGACTGGCGGGAGACCGGTGCAGGCTGGCTTCACACGTGTCCACCACCAGGTGGACGGCCCAGCTAGTGGGCTCCTGCCCTTCCCACAGGCAGCTCCCTGGAGCCGTGAGCGGGTGTTGCGGGCCCTGGGACGGCCTGGCCCTCTGGGAAGGGCCTGGCCTCTTGCCTGTTTGTCTTAAATTCCCACGTGAGGTGACTCCGGCTCATCCTGGACCCCCTCTGCAGGGCTCGGCGCGCGCCACCCACTCCCTTCTCGGGCGCCACTCTCAGCCCTGGCACCACAGGCCTGAGGGGTCATCCTCTCCCGCGGTGTCGCCCGCCCGCCCGCCCACGCCAGGGGGTTCCATGCGGGGCTGCGGCCTCGGGCCCAGCCGCAGTGCACACGCCTCCCCCGCTAGCCCTGTAACCGATCTCTGAGGCCCACGGCGCAGGCGGGAGGAGGGGGGCGCGCACCCACTTAAATGTCGAGCTGCCTGCCGGGCCGTGGGGCTGGGGTGGTGCCTGGGGGGATGCCCAAGGCTCCCCAGAAGCACCCTCGGGTGGCCTCTGCTCACCCGGCCGGGCTCCTGCCGATGGCTGATGGGCGCGGGACTTATAAAGGGCAGCCAGAAGCGCAGAGGGGGGGACAGATGGCAACTTGGGTCCCCACAGCCCCCCAGTGCTGAGCTAAAGAAGCCGTTTCAGCGTGTGGCGCGCGAGGGGGCCTCTGGCACCTCCGGCCTCGTGCCCCCACCCTCGGCCCCACACCCTCAGCCCCCCAGCCCGGGGATCGGCCGTGAGGCTCAGCGCGAGGCGCTCTCCGGGGGCGCTGGCGGGGCGAGGGCCCTTGGCCTGGTGCTTCCCGCTGCGTGGCGGAGCGGCGGAGAGCCCGGGACCCCGCCGTCGGCGAGGAAAGGCCAAAGGGTGTTGCACGAATTCTCGATGACCCTGCGTCTGGAGACCGGGGTCGGCGCAGCGACTGTCCACCAGGCCACTGTGCCCTCGCACACGCGCAACCCGCAGGCTGGGCCGTGCCCGTCCGCCACCCGTTCCCGCACGGGCGGAGCGGCCCCGGGAGCCGGCCAGCTCCTGCACATGCCTTTGTGGAGGCGTTTGTGGGCGTGTGAGCTGTGTGCACGTGTGAGCTGTGTGCACGTGTGAGCTGTGTGCACTGCGAGCTGTGTGCATGTGTGAGCACTGTGGGGTGTGCCTGTGTGCTGCGTGCCCGCGTGTGCTGTGCTGTGTTCTGTGTGTGTGCCCTGCACGCATGTGCTGTGCTGTGTTCTGTGTGTGTGCCCTGCACGCGTGTGCTGTGCTCTTGTGTGCTGTGTGTGGGGTGGGGGGTGGCGGGGCTGCGCCTGGCAGAGCCCCACAGCCTGTGCACCCACAACCGCGAGCCAGGCTGGAGCCATCGCAAGGCGGGTGACTTCCCTGCCAGGGCCGACGGGGCCGCACGCACCATGAAGTCCTCCCGCCGGGTGACGCAGGCGCCTCCGCGTGTGTCCTGACGTGGGCCTGACGCGCTCCTGGAGCTGTGGGCTCTGCGTGTGGGCGCCCGGGGTGGGCGCCCCCGTGTTTGTGCCATTAACCTCAGGGGCGAAATTGGCACGGAACCGTGGCCTCGAGCCTGGGCCTCGTCCGAGCCGAGGAGCGGGCGCCTGAATCCCCCCAACCCTGCCCGCGGGAGCCCTGGGGCCCAGGGTGCTGGCGTGGCAAGGGCTGTGCCGCCGCCTCTGTGAGGGCTGGGGGGGGGGGCGGTGAGGGCAGGGGCTTGACGCTCGCGGGGGACTGCCCCGGAGGAGGAGAAAGACACGCCTTGCTCCAGGCGGCGGGCCAAGTGGGTGCCGGCTGCAGACGCCCGGAGCGGAGAGCGGAGGACAGCAACTGCCTGCGCAGGGCGGCCTCTGGCGGGAGGCGGGAGGCCCGTGGGCTGTGTGACCAGGGGCGGGGGCCTCCCGGGAGGGACCTTGGCCTGAGATGGAGGGGAGCAGAGAGGCGCCGCCGCGTTGAATTAGCTGCACAGTGTGTGCAGGTGTGTGCAGGGATGGGGTGCGTGCAGATGTGCATGGGGGGTGTGTGTGGGGTGTGTGTGGGGGTGTGGGGTGTGTGGTGGTGTGTGCAGCTGTGCGTGTGGGTGTGCAGGTGAGTGTAGGTGGGGGTAGGTGGGGACCAAGAGCCCCCCTCGGAGTCGCACGACAGACACAGAGGACCAGCAGGACGGAGGTGCTGCCCCTCGGCAGTCTGCCAGATATGAGGGGCTAAGGATATGAACCTCACTTCTGAGACAGGTGGCTGCCTGGGAAAGGAGGGGGTTACAGCCAGCCTGCCCCTGGGGCCCAAGAAGTGGGGGGACCCCCAGTCCTAGGACAGGTCGGGAGGCTGGTGACCCCACCGTATGGTCCAGGAACTTTGCCCTGGAGCGGACGAGGGGCGGGACCCTCCCCCTTGCCGGCTGCCGGGGGCCGCTGTGTGCGGGGAGGTGCCTGCTCCCCAGGTAGCCTCCTGGCCTGGGAACGTCTTCTGGGGGACAATTGACAGGCGCACTGCTCCCCACGATTAGACGGGTGATCAGATACACAGGGCGGCCCGGGCCCCGCGCTCCCGGCTCTCAAGGCACCCGACGCCGATGGGTGGATGCAGCCGGGCCCGGCGCCAGCGACAAGGGCAAGCGAGAGGCTCCTGCATCAGCTGCAGTGGCCGCAGCTCTTATGCAGTGGGCTTTTATGCCTTGAGGGAGGCGTCTTGGGGGCTGGTCCCCCACGGCTTCTCTTTTTGGCAGCCCAGGCATTGATCCCCTTATTTCGGCTGGCACATACAAGCTACCCCCACATTTAATAGCTACCCCCCCAAATTTAGGTGCTTCAGGCAATGTGCATCGACTGAGTTCTGAGTTCTGGGGGCTCTGATCCTGCCCTGCTCTCGCCCTGCGGTCGGCAGCACGGCTGGGACGCCTCGGCAGGCGGGGCCCAGTGCCAGCTGGTTGGTGGCTCCCGGCAGCGCCCGGTGGTCAGGAGGGGAGGCCCATGCAGGGCCCTCCTGCCAGGCCAGTGCAAGGCTGTGCACCCAGAGTGCTCACCACCCTCCCTCCCTCCTCCTGTCTCATAGCGCAGCCCGCGTGTGGAAATGGGGAACCCTCGGTCTTAGCCATGTCGAAGCCCCGACATGAGCTCCCTGTCCCCACACCCCGCCCATGGGTCCGCTCGCCCCTCACCTTGACTGGACTCAGCAGGCCTCCAGGGTCCCCAGTGGGTGTCCAGGTTACCCAGCTCTCTGGCAGGGCCCTTGGAGGCGAGTGTTTGGGGTTGAGCACGCCGTGGGTGTTGGAACACGAGGTGCACGCATGCCCATGGCAGGGCCAGGCCCTGGTGACGCTGCCGCTGGGAGGGCGCAGCCAGTGGGGCAGAGCACAGAGGCCCCACAGCCCTGTTCGGCCCTGCCCCACCCCCAGGTGCCACACCTCCGCTTCCAGAGTGCCAGCTTGGGTGCAGAACACAGAAAAGGGGCCCTGGAGCTGGAGTTGCGGCCTGGGATCTCCGCAGGAAACCAGCCATCCCAGGCTCCATCTGCGCCTGTTCCGGGCTCAGGGTCTGATGCATCGAGCCCAGCATGCGTGTCCAGGGGGCCAGCAGGGCTGTCCAGGGCCCCTGCGGGATGAACTCCCCTCACTTGGCACTGGTGCCTGGGGACTTCGCTTTCACCAATGACAACTTGTGGCTGCACCAAGCTCTGTCCCCTCTGGGGACCTGAAAACTGCAGCCATCCAGAGACAGGCATGTGCGGGCCTTGAATTTGGAACCTGGGCTAGAGATCCAGGAACTCGTGGCCTGGGGACGTGGCAGGAGAGTGGGTTCCACTGGCCTCCCTGTGCTGCCGTGGGCTCTGCACTCTGTGCCCTTGCTGAGACCGACCATCCCTGGCGGCTACCGTGGCCGCACAGTCCTTCCCTGAGGGCCAGAACAACTGGAAATCAGTAAGACGGTGTGATGTGCACATTGTGTGTGGTGTCCAAGTGGCTCTAACAAATGCTGTGGGAATGTTCTAGAAGGAGGTAGCTCTTCTGAGGTCGTCAACAATTATTTCACTGAGGAAGTCACCCTAGAACTGGGTTTTAAGGCTGTATAGGAGTTTGCAAGGCAGGTAAGGGTTAGACAACCTTTGTAGGTGAAGAAAAAGGTGTTTGTAAAGGTGGGATATGCTGGGTGCGGAGAAGGTCAGTGTGGGGAGACCTGGCCCGACGGCATACAGAGCTGACAGTGTGCCCCAGCTGGACAGGCCGTGCAGGCGTCGGACATAATCAGAGTTAATGATGTGGAAGAAGTAACATCAAGTCTGTCTCAAATAACAGTAATGATCATAATTTATTGATTCAATATACCAAGACTTCACCACCACCGTCACCTCCAGCGTCACCACTTCCACCACCACACCATCACCACCACCATCACCACCACCACCATCACCATCACCACCATCACCACTATCATCACCATCACCACCATCACCATCACCACCATCACCATCACCACCATCACCACCACCATCACCACCACCATCACCACCACCATCACCACCATCACCACCATCACCATCACCACCATCACCACCATCACCATCACCACCATCACCACCATCACCATCACCACCACCACCATCACCACCATCACCACCATCACCATCACCACCATCACCACCATCACCACCATCACCACCACCATCATCACCACCATCACCACCACCATCACCACCATCACCACCATCACCACCATCACCATCACCACCATCACCACCATCACCATCACCATCACCACCATCACCATCACCACCATCACCACCACCATCACCACCACCATCACCACCATCACCATCACCACCATCACCACCATCACCACCAACACCATCACCACCATCACCACCATCACCATCACCACCACCACCATCACCACCATCACCACCGTCACCACCATCACCATCACCACCATCACCACCATCACCAACACCACCATCACCATCACCACCATCACCATCACCATCACCATCACCATCACCATCACCACCATCACCATCACCACCATCACCACCATCACCACCACCATCATCACCACCATCACCACCACCATCACCACCATCACCACCATCACCACCATCACCATCACCACCACCATCACCATCACCACCGTCACCACCATCACCATCACCACCGTCACCACCATCACCATCACCACCGTCACCACTATCACCACCACCATCACCACTATCACCATCACCATCACCACCATCACCACCACTATCACCATCACCATCATCACCACCACCACCACCATCACCACCACCATCACCACCACCATCACCACCATCACCACCATCACCACCACTATCACCATCACCATCATCACCACCACCATCACCACCACCATCACCATCACCATCACCACCATCACTACCATCACCATCACCACCATCACCACCACCATCATCACCACCACCATCACCACCACCATCACCACCACAATCACCACCATCACCACCATCACCATCACCACCATCACCACCATCACCACCATCACCATCACCACCACCATCACCACCATCACCACCACCATCACCACCATCACCACCACCATCACATCACCACCATCACCATCACCACCATCACCACCATCACCACCATCACCATCACCACCACCACCATCACCATCACCACCATCACCACCACCATCACCACCACCAGCATCACCACCATCACCATCACCACCATCACCACCACCACCATCACCACCATCACCACCACCATCACCATCACCACCATCACCACCATCACCACCACCATCACCACCATCACCACCACCATCACCACCATCACCATCACCACCATCACCACCATCACCATCACCACCATCACCACCATCACCATCACCACCATCACCACCATCACCACCACCATCACCACCATCACCACCATCACCACCATCACCACCACCATCACCATCACCACCATCACCACCATCACCATCACCACCATCACCACCATCACCATCACCACCATCACCACCATCACCACCACCATCACCACCATCACCACCATCACCACCACCATCACCACCATCACCATCACCACCATCACCACCATCACCATCACCATCACCACCATCACCACCATCACCATCACCACCATCACCACCATCACCACCACCATCACCACCACCATCACCACCATCACCACCATCACCATCACCACCATCACCACCATCACCACCATCACCATCACCACCATCACCATCACCACCATCACCATCACCACCACCATCACCATCACCATCACCACCATCACCATCACCACCATCACCACCACCACCATCACCACCATCACCACCACCATCACCATCACCACCATCACCACCACCATCACCACCATCACCACCACCAGCATCACAACCATCACCATCACCACCATCACCACCACCACCATCACCACCATCACCACCACCATCACCACCATCACCACCATCACCACCACCATCACCACCATCACCACCACCATCACCACCATCACCACCATCACCATCACCACCATCACCACCATCACCACCATCACCACCATCACCACCACCATCACCACCATCACCATCACCACCATCACCACCATCACCATCACCACCATCACCACCACCATCACCACCATGACCACCATCAGCTCCACCGTCACCTCCACCACCCCCACCAACCTCCCTGATGAACATGTGAGGAAGCTGAACTCCAAGGAAACCATGTAATTTTCCAAAGTTTGCACAGAGAGATAATGGCAAGGTCAGGCCCTGAACCCAGGTCTTTCAGCTCCAGACCCAACACAGTTTGCACTGGGGTCTTAACACTGGGCTGCCTGCAGCCCCCGGGCATATGCATTCTGGAAGAATGGGCGCCCTTGACTCCAGAGTGAGAGGGCTCCACGCCTGCAGGGCGGTGGGGGGCAGGGCGAGGGCAGCACAGCTCCCCCTTCTCCCCCCGCATGTCCTCTTTCCAGGGGTATTACTGCAGAACCACGACCTGTTGTGGGTGCAGTGAGTCCCCAGGGCACACGGAGGCCCAGGGCGGGTGCCTCCACAGACAGGGCGCTGGTGGCTGCGCAGGGGTGTCCGGCGCATCCCGTGTGGAGGCTGTGGGGACTGACCGGCAAGGGTGATTGGAAGGCGGCTCGTCTGGGCTGAGGAGGAAGAACATCGCAGAGATGGAACTCACCCTGACTGTCTCCCTTGTTGCTGCAAGCCCAGCTGTCTGGGTGGGCTGCAGCAGGCGAGGCGAGGCCCTGTCCTACCCAGCAGCTCGCAGCCCCGGGCTAGGCTACTCAGTATCTGCTCAGGCCTGAGGTGGCAGGTCCTTGTTCGGGGGGTGCCACGGTCCTTGCGGTGCCATGATCTGTTGTTGCTGTAGCCTGAGGGGTGCAGGAGGCAGGCGGCCCTTGCTCCTGTCCAGTGCTATGAGGCCGGGGCACCGGCGCTGGGTGTGGGGGTGGCCCGAGCTGGCCTCGCCCACAGCCCCGCTGCTAGGCCGGCTGCTCCGCTCGGGAGGCTTGTGCCCGCCATGTGATATGACCGTGGCCGCCGTCAGTCCTGGACGTGGTAGAGTCTCAGGTACAGAGCTGGCCCGGCTGCACCTCTGAGTCCCGTTCTAGGCTGAGATGGTGAGCGGGGTGTGGGGCAGGCCCTAGCATTCACTGGCAAGCTCACAGTCCAGAGGGCGTGCTCTCTGCCCCCCAAGCCAGGTCGCACATGGCATGTACATGTTCACACAGCACACAAGCACTCACACGGCACATGCATGCTGGCACACCCCCCGTGGCAGCGCATGGCCTCAGCCCCTCCGCTTCTTTCTCCCTCTCCTCTGCCTTTTCTGGGTCAACAGTGTTCACACAGGTGGCGGAGCCTGGAGCAAGAGGCCGCGGGGTGGCAGCGCCCAATGTCGGCACCACCTGTGGGAAGGTCGTGTCGGCCAGAGTCCCGGGTGTTTGGCCTCACGCCATGCCCTGGTGGAGGCTGGGAAGTCACTGCCGGAGCGCAGGCCCCTCACCCCACAGTGGGGAGGACACAGTGGAGTGGTACTGGCTCCCGGTATGTGGACGAGACAGTGCCCATGCTGGCCCTGGAGGGGGCCAGTGCCCCCGCAGACGCAGCACATGCCAGGCAGAGCTGGGCAGCTGGAGCTGCGAGAGACGATTGCCAGGGAAACTGGTCAGTCAGGAGGCGATGGAGGAGCGGATACAACACACGCCTCTGTGAAGAAGCTGCTGGGTTGCCACTGGCCTGCCCAAGCCTGAGGGCCTCACTGACCCCCTGCCAGAACATTCCATGCACATGGCCCCAGGTAGAAGGCACCTGCGTGCAGCCCCAGGAAGCCAAGCTGCAGGTGCTGAGGGTGACCCGCACCCGTCCCTTCTGGCCGCGCCCAGATCCCGGGCTTGGATCCTGCACCCCTCCCTCGCGGGGCCTCGCCAGCCGGCCGCGCAGCAGAGTGACGGCTCCGCCGGGAGTTGTGTGGGCTGCCGGGCCCACAAAGGCCCGCTCCCGTGATTGGCAGCTGCTTCCACTCAGCCTCCCACTGAGCTATTGGTGAGCAAGCTTGTTCTCTGCAGTTTACACTGTTCCTGGCCTGAATATTAATATGTGAGGTCCAGTCCATGGGAAATAATGGCATTTAAACCCTTCACCATGGAGTCTGCACACAGCCAAGCGGCGTGCGGCCTCCCCAGAAGGCTCCTAATTTAAGGCTTGCCGGGCACAAAGGGCGCAGGCGGCGTCAGGCCCCCGCACATCCAGACCCCCTTTATCTGGCTCCTGTGAGGCCACTTTTGAATGAGGAAGCTGGAAAAGACCCCACTCACATTCACATGGAGCGCGATTGCTGTGTAGTCTCTTTATCCTCCGTCGGGTGCATTCAGGCTGTTACACAAGACATTTTAAAAACTTGTCACGGGAGGGACGATTTGGAGCCAATTATACGTAACGGATCATTCTGCGCGTCTTTATCTGAGATGTAAAACAACTCTTGCTTTTAATATCATCGTGGTGTGTAATTTTTTAAGGTAAATTATCCAGAATATAAGAAAACATGTTTTTTCTCATTCAAATAGATCAAGCCACATCCTTCTGCCTGCGTGACGGGCACAAGCGGGCTCCGGAAGGCGGGTGTGGGGGCTGGGGGAGCGCGGAGCAGGGCTCACGGGCCACCCTCAAGCCCCCAGATTGCCTGGGGCCTGCAGACACTCAGGGCTCATTTTCCTAACCAAACCGTCTCCAAACCCCACCTCTATCTCATCCTTAAGAAAGTGACTGTGCAGAGCCACTTGCCATGTGCACCCCCTCTCCTCACACGGCGCCATCACCTGGCCCAGGTGCACGGTCTCCCCAGGACCGGTGCCTTCTCCCTCCCTCTGAGCCAGACCTGGTGTTGGGGGGATGCAGCTGCAGAGCTTGCCTGGAATCCCTCTGCCCAGCAGGCTCCTTCCCCAGTCTGTTAATGTGCTTATTATTTGTGTATTTTAGTCTGGACTTGGGGATATGGGAATCACCCGCTTTGGATTCCATCCTTCCAAAGCAGCTCCGCCACGGGGGACGTCACAAGGCGGGTAACACGCTCAGGGGTGCCCTTCCCTCTGCTAACAGCAGGAGCCCGGCCGCGTCTCCTAAATGAAGCCTCGCTGGGCCTGGAAGTGCCTGGGAAGGAGGAGGTGCCGCGAGCCGCATGGCTCCACTGCCCGAGGCCCGGGTGTCCCCTGCCATCATCCCTCTTGGACGCGCTCAGCCCCGCCGGGTCCTCACAGTTGAGGGATGTGACGCCGAGGCTGAGCCTCCGTTCTGGCCCGAGTCCCCTCACCGGGCGTCGCGAGTGATTTCTCAGGGCCGGGGGGTGAGGAGCAAGTGCGCAAGAGTCCCCAGGACTCTTGCGGGGGCGGGGGGCGGGGGGCGGGGCGCGACCTGCAGGACAGGCTGCAGCACTGGGGGGTCGCGGAGGGCCGAGGATCTCACGGGACCCGTCTGGCTGCCGCCTGCAGCCCCCCAAGGAGGGTGTGTGCCGAGGGGCTGGACGGTGGTCGCCTCCCTTCGTGCCTGGATGCGCTGGGCCGGAGGCCTGGACTGGCCCTGGGCTGGGAAGTGCCCTGGGCCGGTCTGAGGGGCGAGTCGGAGCCGCGTCGCCAGCCCCACTGCGAGGAACACGCGGTCACTGCGGGCTCCGTGCACGCCTGGGCACAGCCGGGCAGCCGCTCTGGAAACAGCCCTTCCCCGGGACCTTCGTCTCGACCCCGGAGCGTGCCCCTCGCGCTGTGTGACCGCGGGAGCGCCCAGGCCGGGCAGCAGCGGGGAGGCCGCGGGGACGCCAGGCAGCGAGGACCCTCCCCGGCCCCGTAAGTGACGGCCAGCGTCCCGGGGGCAGAGCTTCCCAGAGACACCGCGGACCCTGGGGCGGCGCTGACCTGGGCCATGAGACCTGGCCTTGGCACCGGCCAGGCGCTGTGACTCAGCCGCCGCGGGGCTGTGGGCGTCTGCCCAGGTGAGGGCCGCCCCCCGCCTCCTTCCCCAGCACCGCGCCCACTCGCGCCGGGGGACACAGCTCGAGGAGGACACCTCCCCCGGAGGGTTGTGGGGAGTCGCTCAGAACAATGTCCAAAGTGGCCCGAAGAGGCCAGCCGGGCGTCCCCTTTCCAGGGCCCGAGGGTCATGACCCTCCTGGCCCTCAGGCAGACGGCCGGGCCGGCACGCGGGTCAGTGCCCTGCAGCAGGCCTCGGAGACACGTGGAGGTGCGAGGCGCCTCCTCGCCCAGGGCCTGCGCAGTGGACTCCCCGTCGGGGGAGGACTCCGGGGGCGCCGCTCCTGCTGCACTTTGGGAATGAACTAAGCAGGTGGCGCGTCCTCCGCGTCCCCGGGCAGCAGTGTCAGTACTCGGGCCCGCGGCCCCTCCTGGCTTTCAGGGGCTCGCAGCCCTGTAAGGGGCCTCGATGCGGAACCTGAGGGAGGGCACCGGCAGGTGGCGGGGGTCCCAGCAGCGCGGCGGAGGCCTCAGCCCCCGTGCCCCATGGCCCGCTCGAGGAGCCCGGGCACCCCTGCCCGGAGGGCCAGGCACAGGCAGAGCTGGCGGCCTCCTGGGGGGCCCTGCCCGGGGCCCCGGCCCCCACCGCCCCACTCGGAGGGACCGAGCAGCGGGGGGTGCCCTTCCCTCTGCTAACAGCAGGAGCCCGGCCGCGTCTCCTAAATGAAGCCTCGCTGGGCCTGGAAGTGCCTGGGAAGGAGGAGGTGCCACGAGATGAGCCGCCGCCCCTCCCTCCCTTTGGTTCCATAAACGG